CCCACTGCTAGAAAAAAACTTAGATGCATTAAAATAAGGATACAGTTCTTTTATTTGACCATACTTGCAATATTTGTGTAATAGATAGCTGATGGAATAATTTAAGTGATTTTTATGAAAAAGTATAGCTTGTCGGGAAGCAAAGGGGAACAGGAAAAAGCACTGTGTTTGTGTACCAGCACATAGGGTTTCTCTGAGGCCCAGGTTACCAGCATCTGACTGGAARGGAATACAGCAGGAGACATTATCCAACTAGTTTTTAAATGCATTGATAAGGTTTTGACATTTTAGGTGAAGGAAATGGCTTAGAGGGCTCTTTTCTGTGTAAACAAAGAAGAGGAAATCACTGAGGTTGTCCAGACAGCGTAACCTTGGTGAGAGCGATCTAAGATATGTTATTGTATTCAGTTTCTATGACAGGAATGAAAAAYAACAACATAATAGCAACCTTTTTTWAAAAGCATATCTAAGTGCATACTTACCTCACTGTGAAGAAAGGTTTGAAAGAGTAGCAAGAGAATAACCCCAAGTAGGAGGATAAATTCCATGGGAAGGAGAAGTTGTATCAGGTTACTAAGGTCAAGACAGTTTTGCAGCACAGACACTTTAGAATACTGTGAGAAAGACTAAGGCACAAAATGAAATGCAGCCAACAAGAAATCAGAAGTAATGAGAAATGTTTTTATAAGGGTAGTTTTCAACAATTCATTGTGAAAATGGAAAGGCTTATTAATTAGTGCCATCCTGGTTCTTGTACTATTCAGTGCCCTAATAGCAATTTAAATAATAGAAATATTTTTCTAATTCCTTCCAAGGCCATGATCCAGTCTAGTGATTTGTGAGTGGGCACACTCTTATGGAGTTACATGATATTTTGAAGTGTTGGCAGTTCACAACTTCCAAGGTTTTCAAAGCTGTTGATTTTTCTTTTCAGAAGGGACTACATGTTGCATTGAAATCTGCACTGAAGAGAAAAAAAGAAATAAAAGATACTGAAAGAAAAAGTGCAGCTGAGACCATCTCCTCTTGGTTTTCTTCTCTAATTATGTTTAGAGAAAATACTTATTTTTTTTAGGGTGCACTCACTCCAAAGACGTAGACCTGCTTGGTTGGTATCAGATAATTGTAAATGCACTGCTGTACTTGGATTTGGGCTCTAYAGCAGCCTTTATTGCAAGCCCATATAGACTATGGTAGCTTTAACCAGAATTTGCCAACTTGTTTCTTAAAATCTCATTAAGATCAGGGCTCCAGGTCAGCAGAGGGTGAGGGCAGCTGCTGGAGTCTGTCAGACTGGTGCATCTCAAGGACATCACGTGGTAGACAATGGTGTTTTCTGGTGGTCAGGATGGGCTCAGCTCTGGGTCACTGGCAATGACTGGCAGTGTTACCTTGTTGCTCAACAGTCAGAAGAGGATGCCTAAAGCTGTGCCTGCGAGACAGCCATGCCGTGCTTGTCCTCTGCTCTGAAATGCTGAGCTGCAGAGTAGTGGGTGACAGGCAAATGAGCAACGCATCTCTTGGCAGAACTGCACACTTTGAATGTTGGGAGTGAGTGAAGGAGTGTAGTGGTGATGCACTATAAACAAATCAGGCAAATGGATTTGTCCCAGCCTTGAAAGAACTGGCCTTAGTGTCACTGGATAGTATTTTTGGGATGTCTGCTAGCAAGCCTGAATTCTATCCAACGGGCAGCTGGAAATGCCCTGGAATGCAGAAGAAGATTATATTGCCCTAAACAAATCAGAAGTTCTTACTTTGTTCCTAGAAATAAAAGGTATGGATATATTTTAGATATATCTATTTATAAAGACTAATGGGAGCTGTGATTCATAGATTTGCCTGTGAGTAACTGTTTATAAATGAAGTGCTCATGTCCAGATACTTCTCACTCTTGCCATAACATCACTGTTGGGTTAGATTCCTCTGAATTCCATAATGTTTCACTCCTCACTATACGATAAGGTAAACACACACCCAATTTCAATGGTGTGGGTCCTTGCCCGAGTTGATGACTCTGTCTCAGTTTAACAAGGAGAAGATCTTTCAAAAACATTCCTTAAAAAGATGGCTCTTCGCAAGAGCATTGTAAAAAATGCTGATAAGATGGTTATAATAATTTTGCTAATGAATTCCTGAGTAAGTAACTGAGATAAATAGGTTCAGACTTTGTATAAGAGTAATAGCTTTGAAACTATTAAAAAACTTCACCTTTTTGAAAGTCAGTTAATCAAGCCAGTTGAAATATATAAGTGAAAGAAAATTAGGTGTCTACCTTTCAACATTGAGAGGTGGCATTTAATCTTAGAACTTGAAGCATTTTCAGTCTCTCAGAGGACTTCCAATGCATGACAGCATTCCTGTTGCATCCTGAGGTAAGGAAATGACTTTGCTAAGTCATGAACTGGTTTCAGACATTCAGAGCCCTTTTCCAGGTCTCTTGTGAGCAGTTTTGTGCTGACAGCAACAACTTCTTTTAACATTTTTTTTTTTAATGAAGGTTTGCACTTAAGCTGGTTCTTCCTTTGGAAGGTGGCTTGACATCCATAAGAGATCACTAGAGTAAATCCAAGACCCATTTTCARCCAAATGGGCTCAAACAACTTGGAAGTTCATCTGTGCTACTTCGCTTAAATTACATGACCCAGTGCATATAAAACGCACTTCAAACTTGAAAGCAAGGGGCATTTATTCAGGGCATCATGACAAGGTTTTCAGGCTGAGTCATGGTATTAATTCCAATTTAGTTACGTTGTTTTGAATTCTTAAATAAGGACACTTTCCACTGCCTTTGGAGACACTGCATGATTTTCACCTGAWTGGAGTCACCATGCCCTGTGTCAGAGGACACTTCTGTCAATGATTTATTCATTATACAGAATTTTCTTCTAGTGTAAATATATTTAGTTAAAGACTGTTTTGATCTGTTCAGCTTTTCTTTGTCTCACAGGTCCAGGAGAACTTTTAGAAAGTGTAGTCAGGGGCTAAACTTCTGAATTGCATCCTGAATTCCCTAGGATTCAGCATTATCAATGGAGCAGCTATAAACTAGCAGGACAGCTGACCTTCAGTTTTCTGAAATTGAAATTTAGGTTTCAAAGGTGCATATTAATGATATCTRTTCTATTGTTTTCCCATGAGTCACCAGGTTTCCTTTAGCTGAGAAGTATCTATGTCAAAGAAGAAAATCACAAGGTTCCATTTGTTTCTTCTGTTTACTCTTTTGACCTCATTCTAAAAACTGCATAGCCATGAGTACTTCGTGTTGGTGAAGATAAAAGTGGCCAGACACCTTGAAAGAATTTCCAGGGTGTGGTACTCCACTGTCAACAGGAGAGCTTAATATATCTAGAGCTCTCCTTGCTTGATTTCTTCTACACACATCTTCTTTTCACAGAAAACATATCAAAGTCCTTTTTTACTCCCACAGTGTACACTTACATTTAGCACATGCAGGCCTAAATCATTTGAAAATAAATATTCTGAAAAGCTCTTACTTTGGGGCTTTTCAGAGGTATGCTGTTCCTGTGAAACATAGAGGARCTACGTAAATAATAGAGAAGTTCAAGAAAAACAAGATTCTCTGACTGATGCACACATTATATGGGCACAGAAGGCAGAGATGAATCCTCTGCTGTAGGAGACAAGTATAGCTGTGTAGAGAAGCAGGTGTATTTGTAAAGCAACAAAGCAAAGTGGGTCAGGAAGGCACTTGTTGCACAGTCTGGTGGCTGCACTGCCTTCAGACTGGTATTCAGGAGGTGCTGCTGTGTACAACAGCAGCAGGGAAGAAGATATTCTCAGTTCCTAAAAAAAAGCCTGCTATTTTTCACAATATTTTCTTCCTTCATGCAGTGAGAGCCCTGTCCCAGAGGCAGTGGCTGTGGGTGCCAGGAGGCAGCAGGATATTAGGAACAAACTTCAGAGTCTGGCATGAGCTCCTGAGAATCAGTTTCTGTGCCATGCAGGAGGATGTAACTGCTTGTCACTTCTTCCTCTTGACTTCAGTTCTGTTGGCAATTAATTTTGCAGTCTGGATGATACATGGACAATGTTGTTTCCCTACCTGCCTTGAGGTTGGTGTATTCAAACCCCCAGAGTTAACACTTTGTGATTCAAAATTCCTGTTTAATTATTGAGGGCTCCGTTGTGTCTCTAGAGGATAGTTTCATATCATGCTTACGTGGGAAACAACGTTCTACTCAATTTCTTAAAAAAAAAAAACAAAAAACCAGTTACTTTTTGGAATTCCAGTTGTTTCTGAAAATCAGCAGTTAACAAATGTGTGTTCTATGTTCTGGACAGCAGAATTGTCTGTAGCTGTGTTACAGGTTTGCTTTTAGCTGCTGTGGGTGAGCAGAAATTTGTACCTCTTTCCCTTGAAGAAATACATWGATAATGTTTTAGAGAAGCGATTGTTGTGACCCTCCTTGGGCTAATTTTGCACAGCGCTGTGTGAAGGTAACAGCTTTCTAGAGCACCACTCTGCCACATTTGGTCAYTGAGGCAGATCTCCAAACATGCTTTGCAGTCCCATTTCTGGTTTTTCAGCACACACATGGCTTTTGGTACAAACCACTGTTTGTAATAAGCTCCCCAGAGATTTCTTGCACTGTGTGTACCCTTCAGTCATGTCCTATGGACTTCATGTTTTTCTGTTACTGATCTTTCTCATAATCTGTGAGTGCTTCACAGTTGGGAGCRGGGTTGGGAACTGTCTGGACAGCCCAGCAGGGTGCTAGGGAAAGCTCAACAAGCTTCAATCCTTGCTGTGCAAGCTTGATATTTCATGTCAGAACCTGATGTCCTTTTAATGTATCCAGAGATATTCATTCCTTTTGCCTACATACCATATGTATACTACCACAGAGTTGCAAATGCTTGATGTTTGTGTCTTCCCTTCYCTCCTAGCAGAATGTTGTATATTATATCAATAACAAAATGGGAAYGTAGGAGATGATGCCACTAAAACAAATATTCTCCTTCGTTTTTCTTTCTAGAATTATGCAGCAAGTAATTTCACTGATTGCAAGGAGGAAGCGGAAGACAGCAACGCTTACAAGCTTATGTTAGGCTCAGAAACTCAACCAGCCRTGGGTAAGTCATGTTGTTAGCTTTATTGGTGCTGATATGTGCTGTATTAAATTAATGAGTTTATGGGCAGAGAGGGAAAATTATTCTTGCAATTGCCACATGTTACTGCGGCCTCCAGGGAGGGCACATGTCCTGGAAGAGGAAAGCAGTTGAGGGATTCATTTAGGATAATGAAGTTACTGCTCAGTAGGCAAGACCTCAGTGCAGCCACCGCTCCTTGTAAATGCTGGAAAATTGTGATCTCCACTCTGAAACTAGAAAACAGCTGAATACTCCAAGCTCTCAGAGAAGAACCTTCATAAAACGGGAGGGGCTGCCTACAGGTGCAGTCAAGTCCTGTGTGGAGGCACAGATAGTTGACATTTTGGAGCTTGATGTTCSTACTTCGGACCACAGATTGATGACAAGTCTGTGGATGATCTGTGTGGTCGAATGCATTCCCCTTGCATGCTTCAAAGTTGC